AATTCGAGGGTTCTAATCAGAACACCTTGTCAAATACTGAGCATAGGTGACGGCACGTCAAACTTTCTGATTCCTATCTGCAGCCATGCGAGCAGAGAAATATAAAAGAAAGAACACACAGAGATAGAGAATAAAATTACGTCGTTCTTTTTTTCATCGAGCTATATTCATGAAGTGTGTACGTTTTCGCTCGTACGTGGGAGTCGCCGTTCATTTTGTCTAGCAATCAATAGAAATCGATTGCTTTAGAAACTGGGATTTTTGACGCTGGAGAGAGAAAAAAAAAGAAGGCACATGAATCGAAAAAAAAAAATCCCGCCATCGCTCTTTCGCAAACTCACACTATGCCCTTTTATACATTCATGAATACAAGTCTGTGAACTACAACACGCTTGTTCAAGAGAGGGCCATGGCACGCAACCTGACTGAGTTAGCTCGGCGTAGGAAGATCTGAGCTTTGCGCTCCGCTCGGTTCAATTGCTTCCCTTTGATTAAGAGCATACGAGTCCACCGTAGTGCTACTCTATTTTATTTCGCCTTTGACTTCAGAATTTTCGCTCTGATGAGCAAATGTGCAACTGAAAATAAAACCTCACACTTGCTTGCCGAGTCGCTTTATCCAATCTTCTTTAATATATCTTGCTTTCTAACTCCACAGAGGTCACCCTAACATGAGTCGGCTTTCGGGTAACATTGACTGCTTTCACATGCATACTTTTTTAAACGAAATGCTAACTAAGCCAGTATTTAGGACTAATGTACATGCTAACATCTAGCTTTCGTCAAAAGTTTTCTCAGACTTCATTGTTTGAAGTTTTTGCGACGGAGAAACTTCAAGTATGGCAGTTTGGACTAGTTGGTATGACATGACTATAGTTATAGCACGAGAACATAACGACGACAAAGAGACAAGAAGGACGCGAGCAATCTTGTCCTTCGTGTTCTTCTTGTCTCTTTGTCGTCGTTCTGTTCTCCGCTCTGTAACTATCGTCTTGAGAAACTTCAGGAAAAGCTTACAATGAGAAGTACGTAGCGGGAAATTCGCACCCCCTGCCACATGGCAAGTCCGACTGCGCATATATGGCACTGGAAAACTTTCCTATAATCGTTAACTGACGACTGTTTACCATCCCAACGCTTCCTTTTGACGTTGTCGAAGGAGCTAGGATGCACTACACGCAAGACGCTTGAATTGTCTTACATTAGACTTTACTATGTCTTGACGTGCACTTGCTCATGTTCACTAAATGCACTTGTATAGAGTGGTAGCACATATAAGCACCTATATTGCATCAATTATGTGGAGAGGTGAAAGTTTTTGTGTACTTACTAGAATTCACACTTTTTTTTTGCGCGTCGTGTGAGCGGGAGGAACAGATGCGTTAAGTGCAGAAGAAATGGTTAAGAGTGAAAAAAAAAAAAAACACACACACACAATTAAATCATAAAGAATTACGGCAGCTTTGCCTTACTGCTTTCAAGCTTGAAGGCGGAGCGCACCTAGGTGGGCTTCCTATTTTTCTTTTTTTTTGTTTTGTTTCTGCATTGTTCTGTTGTGTACGAGTTGCTTTATATTTCTAAATTTCTCTATTTTTATACCAGCTGTCTTGTCTCTCTCACTCTTTCTGTACTTATTTCTCATTGTTCCCATTATTTCCCTCTGTTCGCTTCTTTCTTTTTATTTCTTTCTTCCTTTCTTTTTATTCTTTCTACATCACTTTACTATCTGTTCCTTTCTTTCTCTTTCTCTGTCTTTCTATCTTCTGCTGTCTTTAATTTATTTGTTTTTCTCCATTTTTTTCTTTCTATTATCTTATATATCTCTCTTTTTGTCTTCTTTTGTTATTCTTTCTATAATTGAACTTTATCTTTTTTCTTTCTATCTCTAGTTTTTTTCCTCTCTCACTTTCATGTGTATCGCGGGCCGGACAGAGCTTTAGTTTAACGCCAGAACCTGCTGTACTCGGCCGCGGGGCTTGCTTAATACCTGTGGTGCATACCCACAAGTGGTTTTTCTGTGGGCACCCAAGTTTTTACGACAGATTAAACAGCGCAGTGCCAATGAGTGAAGTACCAAGTCTGTTTGGCAGTGATTGCGTTGTTAGGTGTCCACTTTGCTGGTTCTACGTATGCTGTTGCACTATGCCAGCAGGAAAGCTCGAACTCGCTTCAAGACTTCCATTAATGCGCATCATTTCGCTACTACTGAACTTATTTTCGTATGATCACGTGAAGCAAAGGTTAACAACGGGAAGCTTAAAAAAATTCCCTCGTTGGAAAACTTCTGCGCTATATTGACCATTGGAACTACTGCTGTGTCACGTATGTTGTACTTGGTATCGAACGTTTACAAGGCGGTGTTTTCATTTAATGCATAAAGTTACGCCACCACGACTGGCTCTGGCGAAACAACTGACGTACTAAACATGTTATATGAATTGTAACACTTAAACTGGTTATACAGAATAAACATACATACCTTTAACAAAAAATACGCACACTACACATTGCTCAATGCACAGTTTCAGTCAACTAAAAAAAAAAGAAACATGCATTGTTTATTGTCCTGTAAACTATGTAAGTGCCAGTGGCAATATTGTTGAAAGTGATCCCACACAGTGAAGCCCTTCGAATTTTTAATTATGTGCACCATAAACCACCGTAATGTGATTTCCCTGCATAAATAATATTCCGCTGGAGCGTGGAATACGACATAAGAGGTTACACGTGGTCCTACATGGTGCCTGCCCGCCAAGTGTAATGAAGTTTGTACGCAAATGTCAGGCATTTCCGATAACATTGAGGTACCTCTCACAAGTTGGAAGGGTTTTCAACACTCAGTCTGTTGCCAGAATAGAACTGAAGTGTGCAATAATCTAGTGAAAATGGCAGCTCAGAAAAAAAAAAAAAAACGCTAGGCCTGCGCGGAAGGCGCAGCACCGACACAGCGAAAGCTAGAAGAGCGGCCTTTCAGAGCTTTTTCAGAACACTCATTGGGTAACTGCTGCAAGCACACTTGCTGGGTACCCACAACAACAACAACAACAACAACAACAACAACAACAACAACAACAACAACAACAACAACAACAACAACAACAACAACAACAACAACAACAACAACAACAACAACAACAACAACAATAATAATAATAATAATAATAATAATAATAATAATAATAATTTTTGGGTTGTACGCTGGCATTCGTTATGTTATTTTTCGTCATTTTTCTGAGAAGCGTGGCATCCGCTAATCACTTGCAAGGAATTTAATGCCAATTGTTCATGGAGTGGCTGACGGCGATGCGGAATTGTTCCTGAAGGAGGTATGCGCCACAGTTAATAGTTGAACAAGAACAAGCTTTTGCAAAGGGTTGGACCATTGTACGACCCACTCGTTACGCTATTCGCATTGTGCGATGACTGGTTGTTCTTTCGCTGTTTTCAAATGCTCTATAAGTCGTATTAACGCGATTGCTTTCCCGACCTCAAGCCTGTCTAAGTCAATTTTTCAACAAGTCCCAAGCACTGGTGTGGCTCAGCGGCAGAGACTGAGCCACACCAGTGCTCGAGACTTGTTGTATTTTGTGACGCACTTGTATTTTGCCCAATATGTAAATATGTAAAATGTGAACAGTCTTGATATGCAAGGCAATAAAGAAGGGGAAAAAAACTGGTGTTGCTCAGTGGTAGAATACTGGGCTCGCACCGCGCAGTCCCGCGTTCGAGTGCCACTGTGTCATTGATGCTAGTTTTTTTTTTCTAATTTCGCGCGATGTGGCTACGGGCACAGGTTGCGGCGGACATTTGCGCATTACCCGAGTTGTGATCTGATAAAAGCTTTCCCTGTAATTCTGATATTGATTTATTCATCGACTGGCTGATTGAAACATAATAAACTAAGTTAGTCGTTGTTCATAATACTTCCAAAATACAGTGATTCCTACTTAATGTTCGTCATCATCATCATCATCATCATCATCATCATCAGCCTGACTACATCCACTGCAGGACAAAGGCCTCTCCTATGTTCCGCCAGTTAATTCGGTCCTGTGCTTGCTGCTGCCAATTTATATCCGCAAAGTTCTTAATCTCATCTGCCCAACTAACCTCCTGTCTCCCCCTAACCCTTTTTCCTCCTCTGGCAATCCAGTTAGTTGCCCTTAATGACCAGTGGTTATCCTGTCTACGCGCTACATGCCCGGCCTATATCCCTTTCCTTTTCTTGATTTCAAGTGCCCCGCCGCGGCAGTCTAGTGGCTAAGGTACTCGGCTGCTCACCCGCAGGTCACGGGATCGAATCCCGGCTGCGGCGGCTGCATTTCCGATAGAGGCGGAAATGTTGTAGGCCCGTGTGCTCAGATTTGAGTGCACGTTAAAGAACCCAAGGTGGTCGAAATTTCCGGAGCCCTCCACTACGGCGTGTCTCATAATCATATGGTGGTCTTGGGACGTTGAACCCCACGTATCAATCAATCAATCTTCTTGATTTCAACTATGATATCCTTAACCCCCATTTGTTTCCTAATCCAGTAATGTTCATAGAGCTGCTTTATTCGTAAGACTCCAGCTAATAAGATGTCTGATATATAGCCCAGGTAACCATCAAATGGAACTTCTGAAACCGGATCTACAAACCTAGCTTCAGGTAGGAAGTGTAAGAATGGTATTTCTTTTATGTAAATGCTGTTTAAGTTAGCCTTCGGAGATAATATGTCCCGTGTGCTCAGATTTGGGTGCACGTTAGAGAACCCCAGGTGGTCGAAATTCCCGGAGCCCTCCACTACGGCGTCTCTCATAATCATATGGGGGTTTGGGGTAGTTAAACCCCACATATCGGATATAATATGTCTGACAACAATAGTCTCTATAATGCGCGTTTAGAAACAGTTGTAACACAAGAAAGTATGTTGTGAATACAGTTCTAGAACATTAAAACCTATAAAGAGATCGTGATACGCCTTGCATTCTTTTTTTTTTCCTCTTCCTTTTTCTCGCAGTGGCCCCCAGTGTGCCTGTGATCATGACGTCAGCAGGCACTGTGGTTGAAGGCACCATAGGACCATTCATGATTGGCGAGTCTCTGAGTCTTGTCTGCTTAGTGGAAAAAGGTAAGAAACACCCACACAACTTGTATACACTTTTTAAGAAGCAGTAAAAATATATATACTTGAGCGCAAAATTTAAAGATGAAGCGATGCGAAAGTGCCATAGTAGTCACGTAGAGTGGTGTTCTTATCTGTGCAGGTTTTTAAAATGAATGATAACACACACTTCGAAATCAAAATTCAGTCAAGAATATAACTGGTCGCTCGGTGTCTGTAAGATAAGCGAATACGAAACCGAACAGTTCAATTATCACATTAGTGTTCTTGAATGCAAGTGAACCTTCAAAGTTTCGGAAACTCACCCATCCCATATATACCTAATGTGGTTGTTGGCTTGATCATAACATTTTCGGGCTGCTATCAGAGTAAAAACGAACAATAATGAACAATAACAATAAATTATTGTTAGAAATGCATGTGGCCTTTTGTGAGTTAGTGGAAGAAGACGTCGACGTGACTGAGAGACGCTCGTGCATATATATATATATATATATATATATATATATATATATTTATTTAATCCTAACAGTTTCGGCTGGTGGACCAGCCTTCTTCGGAGGATGTAAGTGAAATGATACAAGTTCCCGTAGCAGAGGGTCACCCTCACAGTTTAAAGACCCTCCAAAAAAAGAGAGAGAGAAAAAGACAAGCGGGCGAACGAGGTAGCAACAGACAACAAGAAGCAGAAGAAGGAGAGGAACTAGAAAGGAGCGACGGAGAGCCGCCGGAAACGAGCGGGTAATTCTGGCATTGTTGCTGCGTATAGGTAAGACGCGCCGCCAGCGGAGGCGACCAAGAAAAACGGAAAAATGTGGAACATGTTGCCGCTTACTCGCATCTCACACATGGATCGAGTTTAAGTTCACGTGGTTCGGCGGCTGGCCCGTGGCATCGGGCCACACACACACACACACACAAGAAGCATACGACCCGCTCCAGCTTTCGGAATATAATGGCCACGTTGGAAAGCTAATGTGCCCTCTCCCCCTCCCTCCACCTGCCCTCTCTTGCAGAAAAATGTACAACCAGTCATACTGAAAATAAATAAATGGGTATTCTTGTAAAGGATGAAAATATATAAAAATAAATAATACTAAAAATTATTAAGAAATGAAAATAAAGTTTAATAATACCACAGTCCCTTAATACCGTTCTGGTCACGAAACTTCTCCGTCACTCTATGGGAGAGCTTGATATGGTGCCAAGAGCGGCCGCTACGCGGCGCAAGCCGTCCTAGGGGGGCCATCGCCCCGCTGCGCCCGGCGGAACGCACTGGCCGCGGCGGCATCCCGAAGGCGTTGTGTGGTGGCAGCTCGCGGTTTCTGCATCAGCGAAACGCGAACTTCATGTGCCAGTGCACCGTGCTCAAGGTGGACGGCATGAAAATTCGAATGAACAATGCCTAAGACGTGCTGTGTGACGGGCTGCAGCTCCGGATGCCGAAGCAACAAAGAAAAGGCGTCGCTCTTCTGTTTCCCAAGTAGCGCCGAACACCGAGAGAAATGGAAGCGAGCTATACCGCGGTTGGAAGCTGGCGGTTTCAGCTTCGAAAGTAAGAACGTTCGGGTGTGCGAAAAGCATTTTGATGCTAGCGGCGTTGTGAGAACCGACGAGCACATCGTGAACGGGGTGGTCGTGTCGCTTCAGCGAGAGAGACCGAGGCTTCGCACGAACGCCGTTCCAAGAATTTTTGACGGGCTCCCGGCGTATCTGACAAAGCCACAAACAAAATCGAGGGGCTATTTGAAAGTACCTAGCAGCCGTCTTCTTGCTCTCCTGAAAATTGTTGAAGAACATGTAGAGACGTACACGGTGCAAAACATTGCATGCGGTGACGTGTACGCGAGGATTGTTGAGGGCATTTTGCTCGACAGCCGCACAGCGTCAGCAAGTGTAGGTTGTCTGTTGCACTTTTTAGGGAGAACAGCTGAGGTTGTACACTTTTTTTTTAGATGTAGATTACATTTCTTCACTCGAGAAAAAAACAAAGCCTCGCGGGCAACTGTGCGCAGTTCATGCCCTGCAAGTGGTGGGTGGAAGCCACAGTGTTAAGCATAATGGCTGTGTATGTGAGCACGCCTTCTTATTTGTATATAGTGTTGTATATCTTGTATACATTACACTGTAATATTTTCGTACTATTCATATTTATCTGCATATAGTGTAAATAGTGTATATTCAAATACAGTTTATTTTAGGCAGTGAGCTAAGGCAGAGTGCAGCTGTTAATGAAACGAAATACACATTGTACAGTAGAGTCACAGATTGTGTAACATTGCTCAGAACAGCTGCAATAGTTTCTAGTGCTTTTCTTCTCCAAAGTGTTGTTCTCAGTGTATTTTGTGTGAATAAATGTTTTCCAACTTTCTCCCCATTACATGCACCATATGTTAATCTCCCATTCATAAGTACACACCTGACTACTAGGCGGCGTATCATTAGCACCAAATTTAAGATTTATTGCATGCCTTAAATCATAACCGCCCTTCCCCCCCTCCCACCCAAAAAATAAAAACAAATGTGTGATGAGGTATCTCGGTAGTGGCAGAGGCGGCCAAGCGGCTAGCACTGGCATCAAAAGGAACTTCCAGATTAGGCTGCTGTACTTCCGTTCCCGGAGAAATCATGGGTTGTCGGCCGGTAAATAATAATGCCCTAAACAGTAAACACTAGTAAACGTCAAGCGGCGGGTGTCCCGTGTAAACTGCGTGGAAAGAAGTGATCAATCAAATGTTGGGCACGTTTAGAGCAGTCGCGAAAGCCCTCGGCATCGAAAGTCCCCGCGTCAAAAAAGCGATCGGTGCTCACAAACGTGTGTCCAAAACAACGGCGCATTTGGGTATAAACTCAATTGAAAGGTCTGGAATAAAACTTCTGGCTCAACCATTCAGTTCATTTGAATACTTGGGTAGTAGCGCGCGAGAGGCGAGCCGGATATAAACCAATGTGATTGCTCCTGTACTACCCAGTCGTGTTTCATTTCGTTCACCTTCCTCCCCCTATTAGCGGCCCTACCAGAATATAAAGCTCACCTACCGCATAAACATAATCGCCCTTTGGCCGGGCGCAAATACAAACATGCTGTCGAGCAGATCAAGCAGTAGCTGCTCGCATCAAGAGCATGGAGCATAACCATCGTCTTTCAACACTTGCGAGCTATAGCTCGCAAGTACCGCTTCGAGGCATCGTAAGTATGCATATAATTGGGCTATGAGGCAATTATTGACACAATGCGTTATCGCGCGGTGTGAGAACACTTTTAATGTGCTGCTGTTTATAAGGTGGGCCCGCACTTCCAAGTAAACTACGCGTGCGTTCCAAAGTAAACAGCTCTCATTCGTCGTCGACACTGGATCCCGTTTCAACTTATTTATCTGGTGGCATTGATGCGTTCAGAGACGTTTAAAAAAAGGTAACAGGAAGAACAGCACGCACATAATCGCGTCGAAACGTCGGCCGCAGTGCGCACACAAGCCCAGCAGTGGCGGCGGCTTGTGGCCCCCATACGACGGGTGGCGCCTCTAGCGACGGATTTTGTCCCTATATCAACCTTCGGGCGGAGTTTCGTGACCAGAAAAGCATTGAAGGACTCTGATAATACTAACACAATCCGTTCGGTTTACGTAGCATCGAATTCGTTTAGTTTCGCTATATTGACTAACTTGCGTGTGCGACTTCACGTATGTATAAATAAATTATTTGAGTAATTCAATTTCTGTGTTTCACGAAACGTCGCGGAGACACGTCAGTCGCCCAGGGCTCTCGTTGATTCCGTGGGTAAGTGATCTGAATTTCTTTATAAAGTATGACTCCCGCTGTTCGCGCTCCCGTGTGTTCTGGAAGCCGGATTGTAGGAGTATGACACTTACGCGTTCGAAAGAGTGACCAGGAAGATTGATATGTTTGGAGAACGGCAAATTGGGGAGGCCCTTTACGTGTGCCCTGTGGTTGTTGAAACGCAAACGGAACGCGGTTTCCGTGTGTCCATATATTCCTGTTTGCACACCTCGCAGCGAATTTTGTATACCACATTCGCTGAGTCACAGTTAAGGTCGTCTTTAATTTTGTACACATAGTCTGAACAGGAGGCTTCGGCCGTATCTGTGGTCACCATGTGTGTGCACACCCTGCAGCGAGGTTTCCCGCACGGTCTACAGCCCTGATGGTGGTCGGATTTGTGTGTTTTCGCCCTGACCAGTAAGTCTCTCAGGTTTTTATTTCTTCGGTAAACCACCTTGGGCGGAGTCTGAAAAATGGCAGAGAGGCGACTACTCTGTTTAAGTATGTTGAAGTGGCGGTTTAGTATAGAATTCACCCGAGGGGCGGCGGCGCAGTATGTGAGGATTAAATTTGCCCCTGAAGTTATATCATCCTTATTCCCACCTTTTTCTCCCATTGTTGATTCTCGGTCCAAAGAGCGAGCGCGCTCAATTGCATTGTCAATTATTTTTCGGGGTACTTTTGACGCAAGAAGGCTGTTCTCAATTCCTGTGCGTGGGTGTCAAATTGCGTGATTTCAGAGCAAATTCTTCTGTATCTGTGGGCTTGAGAGTAAGGAACACCTGCTTTGCAGTGATGGGGGTGACTGCTATGGAAATGCAGATACTGTTGGCGGTCTGTTGGTTTTTTATACAGGGAAGTAGATATGGTGGTGCCACTGAGTGATACAGTGACATCCAGAAAGTGAACACTCTTCTGCGAATACGTGTGCGTGAATGTTATCGAAGGATGCACGGAGTTGAAACCGGAAATGAATTTGGAAAGATTATGTTCACTATCGGCCCACACGAAGAATATATCATCGAGGAAGCGTCGGTAAAATATAGGTTTGAATGGAGAATTTTCGAGGAAAGGAATCTCTAAAGAGGCCATGAAAATATTTGCGTAATTTGGGGCCATTTTGGTTCCCATGGCAGTTCCGTTTACTTGCAGATAATGATTTTGGTCGAATTCAAAGTCATTATGTTTAAGTACCAGATTTAGGAGCACCTCTAAAGCGCTTT